ACAAACTTAATTAAATGATTAAAAATCATTTAATTAATTATAATATTACATTAAAAATTTATAGTATGATTATTTAATAGTTAATTCACTATAACATACATTATAGTAGGATTATATAATTAATTATAACATTACATAATTAAATAATTACTTAATTGATTATGAGTTATGATATTATGTTTTAAACATTAGTAATTAATTTGCATAATAAATTAGCACAATACTTAATTGATGATAAGAAATTTAATTAATTATAACATTACCTTATAAACATTTCATTATAAACATTAATTAACATTACATTATAGTTAAATAATTACTCAATTAAATTATAATATATTATATTACATTAATATTATGATCACTTACTTAATTATAGTATTAACATAGTTAAATGAGTACATAATTACATAATAGTTAGAATTTATAACATTACATTATAAACATTAGTAATTTACTAATTTCTATATTTTACATACTTAATTAACTTAAAAATTAAGTAATTATAAACATTACCTTATATATTAATATAATTACTTAATCAATTATAAACATTCTATTATAAACATTAGTATATAATCAAATGATTTGAAATTTAATTAATTATAATATTAAATTATAGATTTATAGTATAAATTATTAATTCATTATAACATTACATTATACTATTATAGTATGATATATAAGTAATATAACATTACATAATTAAATAATTACTTAATTGATTATGAGTTATGATATTATATTTTAAACATTAGTAATTACTAATTTACTATATAAACATAGCACAATACTTAATGAATGATAAAAAATTTAATTAATTATAACATTATCTTATAAACATTTCTTATAAACATTAATTAAGCATTACATTATAGTTAAATAATTACTCAATTAAATTATAATATTATAATATTACATATATTATGATTACTTACTTAATTATAACATTATATAGTTAAATGATTACATAATTACTTAATTAGTTATGAATTTATAATATTACATTATAAACATTAGTAATTTACTATACTATTACATTACTTAATTAAACGATTAAAATTTAATTAATTATAACATTACTTTATATTGTAATATGATTACTTAATCAATTATAACATTCCATTATAAACATTAGTATATTAATTAAATGATTTGAAATTTAATTAATTATAATATTAAATTTAGATTTGTAGTAGATTACTAATTCATTTAACATTACATTATACTATTTATAGAGATCTATAATTAATATAAAATTATATAATTAAATAATTACTTAATTGATTATGAGTTATGATATTATATTTAAACATTAGTAATTACTAATTTACTACATAAACATTAGCACAATACTTAATTAAATGATAAGAAATTTAATTAATTAAACATTACCTATAAACATTAATTAAGCATTACATTTAGTTAAATATTACTCAATTAAATTATAATATTATTATATTACATTATATATGATCACTTACTTAATTATAACATTATATAGTTAAAGATTACATAATTACTTAATTAGTTATGAATTTATAACATTACATTATAAAACTAGTAATCTACTATACTATTACATTACTAATTAAACGATTAAAAATTTAATTAATTATAACATTACTTTATATATTGTATATGATTACTTAATCAATTAACATTCCATTATAAACATTAGTATATTAATTAAATGATTTGAAATTTAATAATTATATATTAAATTATAGATTTGAGTATGATTACTTAATTCATAAACATTACATATATATTTAGTATGATCATATAATTAATATAACATTACATAATTAAATGATTACTTAATTGATTATGACATTATATATAAACATTAGAATTTAATAATTTGCACAATATTTAATCGAATATTATAATTTTATTAATTATAACATATATATAAATTTATTGTAGATATTTAATTAATTATAACATCTATTATAAACAATATTATAATACTTAATTAAATGATTAACAATTTTATTATTATAATATTACATTATAATTAAATAATATATACTTAATTAATTATAACATTACAATTTACATGGTAGTATGATCACTTAATAATTATAAAATTCAATTTACATTGTAGTATGATCACTTATTTAATTAAACATTACTTGTTTCTAATATTAAATTTACTAATTATATTTGGTATATTATAAATACTCATTAACCAATTATAACATTAAATTAATAAATTATAAACATTATAATTTATTAACTTATCAAATGACCCTGGCAAATGGCAATGTTAGTAATTAGTATTAAGAATGTGTTTATAATGATTTTGGTGAAGTTATTTATGTGAATGTGGATGAATAATTGTTTGTGTTTGGTTTTGATTGCAGAATATTAGTGAATGTGATGAATTGATTGAATTCAAGTGTTTGCTAGAGATTACAGGTTATGAGTACATTGGACACAATGATGAATAACGAAAATGTTAGGGGTGTATTTGTAAACTTATAAGGTGTTTTTGTTATTTTTTAAACTAATAGGGGGGTAATTATTTTTAACAGGGACGTACCCTGGAAAGGAACCGGAACCTGCATTTTAGGTTCCGGTTCCTTGAATTGAAGAACCTGTACTGTGCGGTTCCGGTTCCGGTTCCTTTTTTTGGGAACCTGTACTGTGCGGTTCCGGTTCCGGTTCCCTGAAAAAGTACAGGGTACCCGGAACCGCTCACCCCTATTCGTACGTCAGTCGACTCAGTAGTCGGTACTAAATAATTATGGTTAATTGCAACCATAACCTTGAGGTTTCTAAATATTAAAAGTAACCGCCGGTTTTTTGGAATTATAGCGTGCACCATAGACTTTCTAAACTTACTAAAAATACCAAATTGTCACTTGCTAAAATGTGAAAAAAAGAAAAAAAAATGTTTTTAACCTCTTTCAAGATTCAACTAGAATTGTTTAAAGTCTATTTATTTAATATAAATCTTAATTCATTTTACGTTAATGAATTCAATTGTGAAACTTGTTACATATATATATGATTACTGATGGTCATATATATATGTAACAATCGTCACTACTAAATACTGATTACTGATGGTCAATCTCTCGAATACATTGCATGCAAGACAAGTAACCAGTTTATTCTCTATTATTACTTGTCCTTAAGAGGAAAAAAAAACATTTGAGGGGGTTAAAAAAGTTTTTAAATAAACGTAAAAAGAATTATTAATCTAGATAATTCGAGGAAATAACATTAGTAAAGAAATAAGATAAACAAATTGTTTTTAATATAAGAATTAAAGAGAGAGAGAGAGAGAGAGAGAGGTGTGACAAAAAAGAGGTTGTGCCCTAAATCCTAAAAGAAATGTTGGAAAAATTGGAAATTAAAATTATTTATTATAATTAAATTTATTTTTTATATACTCAATGGTAACTTTTTTATAAACTATTTATTAATGTTAGTCTATTCATGTAATATTGAACTACTTTTTGTGGACGAATTATATTGCATCGAGTTTGACCTTTCTTGAATCTAATTAAATTAAATTAAACATTTTTAGGGTCTATTTGACATTGAATAGGGCCGAGGTCAAATTGTAACGCATGAAATAAGTTATAAACATAAAGGGAGAACAACTTATACATACCCAATGTTTGTCGAAATGACAAGTTGGTATCCAAAAAGTTTTGAAACGACAAATGAGTACCTTCCGTCATGTTCAGTTAGTGATTTTCGTTAGATAATAGTGAAAAAACTAAAATGCCCTTGAAAGTTTAATTTTTAGTTTTTTATAAATTTAAAAATTTCTAAAAAACCCCTAGGTTTGCTAATTTGACTAAATACCCCAATATATAAATTTTTTATAAAATAACAAATACACCCCCGCCACCCCACAGTGCCAGATTCAGACCACCACTGCCGGAATCTGGCCGAAAAATTGTGTTACGACACAAACCCGTCGGATCTGTGTCGTAACACACCGATCTGGCCTTTTCCGGCCAGATCCGTGTCTGGCCTTTTTCGGCCTCGACCGCCAGATCATCCACGGATCTGGCTGGAAAACTCCAGATCGACGTGTTACGACACAGATCCGATGGGTCTGTGTCATAACACAATTTTTCGGCAAGTTTCCGGTCTCGACGGCCAGATCTGACCGTAGATCTGGTATTTTCCGGCCAGATCAGCCACAGATCTTGCCGAAAAATGAAAGATCTACGTGTTACGACACAGATCCAATGGGTATGTGTCGTAACGCAATTTTTCGGCCAGATTCCAACGGTGGTGGCCGAATCTGGCACTGTAGGTGGCGGGAGTGTTTTTGTTATTTTATAAAATTTTTATATATTGGGGTGTTTAGTCAAATTAGCAAACCTATGGGGTTTTTTAGAAATTTTTAAATTTATAAAAAACTAAAAATTCAACTTTCAAGGGCATTTTAGTCTTTTCACTATTATCTAACGAAAATCACTAACAGAACATGACGGAAGGTACCTATTTGTCGTTTCAAAATTTTTTAGGTACCAACTTGTTATTTCAACAAACTTTGGGTATGCATAATTCATTCGGCCTAAACATAAAAGATAAAATACCGTTCCCTTTCAAGAGGATTTGGGGCATGTCAAACCCTGGTAAGGTTTTTTGGGTTGCATCGAAATCGAAATCAAAGATAAATAACCATAGCAGAGAAATCTTTATGTTGGTTTAGAATGTATTATACAGGCAATTACACAACATTCTCTACCTTGTTTTACATAAAGTTGTTTAATTGGAGGTTCTCTTAATTCTTAAAGCATTTTTTCAATTACCCAAAAAAAAAAAAAAGCATTTTTCCAATTGTGAATGCTTCCGGTACGTTCGGAGGTAAGAAATTTGACACTGCAAGAATCATCACAAAAGATAAAAGGTGTGCGGATGGTGATAGCGATTTCTATTTACAATAAATTGCAATATGTAAAATAATAATAATAATAATAATTAAAAATAAAATAAAAATCATTTAAGAAAAAGAATTGAACATAATTGACACTTTACTGATCCTTGGGATATATCCAACAATAGTTACAATATTGATATCTCGGGCATGCCTTCATAACCCAGCTAGTTAAGGTAGAAAGACATACATACCATAGAAATTTGAGTCTACTGGAATGCTGTGGTACCACCTATTTATGCACTTCAGCAACTTGTGTGTCGCAATGTTATCAATCAGAAGCAGAGCAGGAAGATGGTTTTGTCACTTGCTTTGTATCTCTGACAGAGGTGTATAATACATGTGAAGCACTGATACAAATTCTTCCAAACTCCATTACTAGATTTGATTCGAAACTATTAAATTTCCAATTTCTATACACAAAAAAAGCCCTCAATAATTTATTTTCCATCATGCAATAATACAATTTACCAAGGTCAATATCTTGATTGATTCTTTACTGATAGCCCCTTTGCATTTCAGCTAGCTAAAGGCAATACTTGCTAATTTCTTATCAGACCACACTAAATGTAACAGTAAATCCTTATTGGTGTGCCAATTTAGTAAGATACCATATTCAGCAGAAAGGAGACACCTTCCTTCAATCATACCTCTCTAAAGCAATTGGGGTTATGGGAATGAAACCACTAGGTGATACAAGAGCATCCACTGGAACATCACAGGGAGTGACAGGTATGGATCCTTCCTCCATGATCTGTACAGAATATGATAATGCAACTGCAACCAAATAACAAAAAGCAAGGAATTATAATAAATATTTACGATGGAAATGGAACTTTGATACAAAAAGTTGTAAATGTATTGTTAACCAACAATAGGAAATCACCAAGTAGGGGTAGCTTCCACTTCCTCTCCTGTGCAAGCTTTTGATATTTCTTAAGCAACACGTCATAGTATCTTCCAGATTTTACCATGCAGTGAAACCACAGCGATAATAAGCCAATATCTCAATAGAAATGCGACAAATGGATTAAAGCATGTCCCTAGTCAAATCTTAAAATTTTTGTACTTGCTGCCTACGGCACATTATTACATCCATATAACAGCAGTCATAATTTAGTTCATTGATCATAAATATCAATAAATGAAGCACCAAGATAAGAGTCATTATTAGCAAAAAGTTAGCATTGAGATATCTTTATGATGTTTTTTAAATGATCAAAATATAATCTAATTTTCAAATATAACTGTAAGCTTCCGTAATAACATATTAAATGCAAGTAGTTATAAACACCATAAAAATATACGCGGTAGTAATAATGGCCATGCCCTTTGACAAAAGTTGGAAAAATACAACAAATTCTAAAGCTACATTGCATCAACTCACCCCCCACCACGACCCAAGCGTCCTCCAGATTTGTCAAATGCAAGCCCTGAAAGAAAATGAAAAGAAGTCACTTGATAAAAAAATAATTAAATTACAGGTCTCCCACAGATCAGTTTCTAACAATAGAAGGTAACAAAGAAGAATCAAAATTTCTCTCCTTTTTTTTGGTTTTCCAAAACAAGAGTGAGAATCAACATGATTACCTGGTAAAATGACCAAGTCAACTGGCTCTCTTGCCTGCATTACTGCACCAAGTAAACCCTTCAGATGAATAACAGCCAGACTCACCACACCAAAATGAATCTATAATCTCCAAGATGGAAATCGTACACTATCATATGGGGAAGGCAGAACCCAGGTAAAAGCAGCCATCAAAACTAATAACAGGAAAGTTTTACTAACTGAAGGAGCAGGCCTGGGATTCCTTCAGGTTTCACTTAATATTTATTCTCTACACAACATTCATAATTAACCAAACTGTAAATGACCCAAAACCTTCGTCATCTGAAATTAAGTAGGACAATCATAAATTACTTAAGGAAGCATTGTAATTATTAATTACTATAAATAGAATTGCAGAAACTCTTTCCTCTGATTAAAATTGTTCTGAACTATGTTGATAGAATTTGCAAGTTCAAATGTTCAAATAGGTCAAAAATTCCCACATCAGACAAGCTCTTGTCCTTTTAAATGGAAAATTTGCAATAGCCAAGACACAGCTTTGAAGACACATCAAGCAACGAATTGACCTTGTTAAACTGAAATACTTTAGCAATGGAGCACCAGGAAATAATAAAAATAATAGTTCCAACTTTTTAATCATAAGTTATCAGTATCTCAAAGGGACCTGTTAACAAATACCCTTATAAGCACATATTAATGGTACCTAAAAATGAAATTTTTTACTATATTAATGCTCTCCATTTACAAGGGAAAAAAAAAAAAAAAGCATTTTTAAGTGTACTAATTTCATTAAAATTGTGTATTTTTGTAGCTTTAACATGTGTCTTTGGGCACATGCTAAAACGACCCTATAGTTCCTCTTGCTGCTACTGGAAGCATATATATATATATATATATATATAGACTAATTTGGAATAACAAAATTTTCTAAGCCAGAAAGCATTCTTACAATGGTGATGACTCTATGAGCAGAATTCTACTCCCTTAAAAGAAGAAATTGAGCACAAACTCTAATGCAGAGTTGAAGATGTCTTTTGCATTCTTTACCAATACTCAACTGCATGTTAACAGATGACTCTACAAACATTACTATAGTTCCCTAGTTACAAGTTAACTGTAGGTATTGACTTGAAAAGAATTTTAGTTCAAGGGCATTTATAATAAAAGGGGTCAAGAATGCTGAACATATTTAGTTCACATAGCGTCTGAAATTATAGTGGTGCAAGCTATAAATGATGAAGTACGGTCAAGTATCTTTGATTAGATAAAGGAAATATATATAAAAAGAAAAGTACCATCTTCACATTGATTTCCATTAGAATCTACTAGGGGTGGCTCCAAAATGTTCATTGAGTTTTCTATGAGGTCATTAACACTGGATATTTTGAGCATTTTCATGTTGCTGTTCTTGTCCTCCACACGTGGAACATAAAGCTTTTTCCTCAACTGTGTATTACCCTCTGGAGTGAAAATGAGATGTAAGAATCTCCACAAGTATAATAAAATTGTAATGAAATGCGATTGTTTGGTGATGAAAACGTTCTCAACACTGAAACAATAAGATGACAGATAATAATGGAGTAAATTGCAAGGAAAGAGCATTATCAATTTTCCAGAAATATAAATCTTTTATACACATTAAGGACAGGGCTTTGAAGCATGCAGGAAAAAGGAAAACTGGATTCACCCATGAATGTGACTAAAATAGCAATACATGGCTAACAAAATCCACACCTTTTTTATATTAGCTTACAACTTTTCCAGCATTATGCTTTTCCTTTTGCTCACCATCTATGCTAACAGGGACGATAGGATTAACTCAAGAGGCCAAAGACGGTAAATAAAAAGGGAAAAGATTATAACATGCTAAAACACTTATAACTAATAGTTTGAAAAGCAACTACTTCAATTTAGTGCCCCCAACAACTTCAGTGCCCTCCCACTTTCATCTTTGAGTTTTGATCCGTCCAAATTGTTAAACAAGTTGCTAATGAGCACCAGTAAGCACTCAAGCATTTATTTGGAAATATATGTGCCAATATATTCATTCCTAAATATGAAATTTCGGTAATATGTTACAATACCAAAATAACAAGCAAAAATGTCTTGACAAACCGGTGCTTGGGCTGGACAGAATCTCTGAGACAATTCTTGATGTATCCACTTCCCGTAAAGCCGCACAGCTTATATAAGCACATAAGCTCTTGCTCGCTTTGAACCATGGAGATTCCATAACAATGTTATGAATCGCATTATCTGTCACACTCACACAAAACATAAGAAACACGAGAAGTAAAACTTCTCTGTAGAACAAAACAATGCCCCCTTTCTAATTCATTTACATTTTTGTCCATCAATTGGCCAAAACTCTGTTCAGCATTCAACAATCACATAATTGGCAGACTTATTTGGAATTTTCATTCAGACAAACAAACGAACATTTCGAGTACGATAAAGTAAATAAGAGAGTAAGACCTTCTTGAGATCGTTGAATTGGGTCCATGCTTTTAAGGTCTTTGCGAATCTTGGACCTGAGAAACCGTTTTTGCTGGAATATGGCTTCGAGCTGATGGGAATCATCAGCGTCCTTGGTCATGGTGGCGTTGGAGCGCACGTTAGAAGAGAGAGCTGAGTATGGTGAGTTGCGAAGGTGCGGGATTGTAGCCACTTCATTTGCGCTTCTAATTAGGCTTGCAGTAGTTATACAGTGACGATACATGCTGCTTTTTGTTGGGCTGTACTGATAGGAAGTAATGGCGCTCATTTCCTTTGTTCTGTTCGTTAAGTTGGCTTTGTTTATGTTGAAATAAAGAGAGTTTTGAGGTGTATATTTCTGTGTGTAAAAACTATACAAATGAGGCCTCTATATATAGAGAAGGCCAAAGTTAATAAAGAAATACAATATATGAAAAGATTCTAACCTATCATAATTATAAGAAATTATAGCTTAATTACAGGAATAATCATATATTCTAGGGATATTATAAGATACTAATATATATAATAACATCCCCCCTCAAACTCTTGGTGGCGAAGTCAACTGGAATTTGGAAACAAAATCACCAAGTCGACTAGGTGGATGGGATTTCGTAAAAATATCAACAAGATTATCTTCAGAAGAAACTGAATGTAATTGGAGGACACCCTGCTGAAGATGATGGCGGATGAAGTGACAATCAATCTCAATATGTTTAGTACGTTCATGAAACACATCATTATGCGCAATCTGGATGGCACTACGATTATCGCAGTGAAGAGGAGAACTTATTGATTGAGGAACACCCATATCTTTCAAGAGCCAGCGTAACCACAAAAGTTCAGATGTCGTATCAACAAGAGCGCGATACTCAGCCTCAGTGCTAGAACGGGCAACAACAGACTGTTTCTTACTACGCCATGAAATCAAAGAAGTACCAAGTAAGAAACAATAACTAGTGGTGGAGCGACGATCAGTAGGATCACCAGCCCAATCTGCATCAGAATAGGCCTGTAGCGCTAGAGAGGAGTGGGATGAGAAGTGCAGACCATGAAACAGAGTACCCTTGATGTAGCGTAGAATTCGAAGAACCGCAGCAAAATGAGTAGATCAAGGTGCACTCATAAATTGACTGACCAGATGAACATCATATGAAATGTCAGGCTTGGTGACAGTAAGATAAATGAGACTGCCAACTAACTGTCGATAAAGAGTTGCATCTGCAAGTGGAGAACCATCAGTGGCCAGAAGCTTAGTATTATACTCAAGTGGACTAGTGGCTATCTTGCTGTCTGTCAACCCAGCTTTGGAAAGTAAATCAAAGGCATATTTTGCTTGAGTGAGATAATATCCATCTTGATTTGAAGTAACTTCAAGGCCAAGAAAGTAGTTAAGATGTCCCAAATCCTTCATCTCAAAATTCTGACTAAGAAAAGTTTGAAGATCTCGAATACTAGCAATATCATCACCAGTAATAATCACATCGTCTACATAGAGAAGAAGAATGATAGTACTTGCCCCAGTAGTGCGAAGAAAGAGTGCAGAATCATATGGGCTAGAAAGAAAGCCTTGTTGAGAAACGACTGACTGAAATTTCTCAAACCAAGCTCGAGGAGCTTGTTTGAGCCCATAAAGTGCGCGACGAAGATGACAAACTTTATATGGAGGATGCTCATAGCCAGGTGGAGGCTGCATGTAAACTTCCTCAGTAAGATCACCGTTAAGGAAGGCGTTTTTAACATCTATTTGAAAAAGTTCCCAACGCCGGACAGTAGCAACTGCAAGTAAAGATCTGACATATGTAAGTCTAGCAACAGGAGCAAAAGTCTCCTCATAGTCAATCTCATACTCCTGTGTGAACCCCTTAGCAACAAGTCAAGCCTTCCCAGCCCATTTTTCTTTCTTCTATAAATCAGCACATTCGATTCAAAGTCCAGCCCAGGTCCACCTGTTGACCGTCGAATGGCAGGTGGAGGCACGTGCAGAAGCGTATCGGGAAAATCTTGACATAGAAACACTGATAAAATTCTCAAGAAGCCGTTTATGATCAGATTTGATAAAAAAAAAGGGAGCAAAAATCGAATGTAAACCACGAAAATCTCACTATCAGTGTAGGGAAAGCCAAGGTTGGTGCAGAAGGAAACATCAATGAAACGACTTGTACGGACAGAAAGATCAGAGTAGTGGCTCTAATACCATGTTGAAATAAAGAGAGTTTTGAGGAATCATATGATTGTATATTTCTGTGTGTAAAAACTATACAAATGAGGTCTCTATATATAGTGGAGAAGGCCGAAGTTAATAAGGAAATACATTATATGGAAAGATTCTAACCTAGCATAATTACAGGAAATTACAGCTTAATTACAGGAATAATCATATATTCTAGGGATATTATAAGATACTAATATATATACTAACAGTTTAGAAGAGTTCTCTCTCTCTCTCTCTCTCTCTCTCTCTCTCTCTCTTTTTAATATTAAAGAAAATTGTTGGATTTCTTTTGAGAGTCGAAGCGCATGCTTAATTTAAATTTTCATATAAACCATCACTGGGTGATTCAATAGTAAAAGAACAAATGGTAAAAGAACAAATAGGTTTAACATGTGAATTCAAGTTTCTTCGACACTAATAAGGATGGCTAACGAGGGAATTTATCCGATCGTTCACTTCAGAGCTTTGAGATTAGCTGAGGTGAATGCAAGCTGGTTCGGACACTCCCGATCACCAAAAAAAAAAAAATGTCGAAAACCAAATTAAAAACTTATGTTGTAAGAGCATCTCTAATTGTGTTTTTTATTTTAAAGAGCATTTTTTTTATATAAATAAAGAGCATCTTCATTAATTTTTAAATATAAAGAACAAAATTTTTATTCAAATCTAATAGACTCTTTAAATTTTAAGAGGGAGAATATATTTTTTTAAGAAAGAAACTTAATAAGAGAGATAAATAATAAATAAAATGCATAGAAACTTGTAATTTATTATTTAAAATTACGATAGAGAGTGAAATTTAACTCTCTAGGTATGAAGAGTCAAACTCACTCTTTAATTTATATTTAAAGAACAAAGAGTCCGTTAAACTCTTGTTTTTATAGATAAACTCTTTATGATAAAGAATTTGAGTCATTGAAGAGTCTTTTGGAGATGTTCTTTATTTAGAAATTAATGAACTCTTGTTTTTATAAATTAAGAGCATCTCCAATTGTGCTCTTTATTTTAAAGAACATCTTTCATATAAATAAAACGTATCTTCATTAATTTCTAAATATAAAAAATAATTTTTTTATTCAAATCTAATGCACTCTATAAATTTAATGAAGATACTGTTTATTATCAAGAAAGAGAATTAACGAGAGAGAAAATTAATAAATAAAATACATAGAAACTTATAGTTTATTAATTAAAATTAGGATAAATAATGAAATTTGACTCTCTAGATGTAAAAAGTCAAACTCACTCTTTAATTTATATTTAAAGGATAAAGAATCCGTTTGACTCTTGTTTTTATGGATAAACTCTTTATAATAAAATAATTTTGGGTCATATAAAGAGTCATTCAGAGATTCTCTAATAATAAAGAGTATATATCATATAACTAGTTCTTGGAAATGCTCTAACACTACTAGAAAACGAAGATACATTAGCCTCGGGACCTAGCATTGGTGCATTTGTCAATGTGCCAATGTCATGTAGGTGCTGGTGTATGAATTCATACCTCAACACCTACGTCAAGGTAATAATATATCTTTGATGCGAACAAAATGCATTGGAGAAATATCAAATTACTCCAAAGGCTGATGCTCTTCATAACGTCGGCATATACCAGCATCGAGGTAATTAGATTCCTCTAACATAGGAAAATGCTTCAAAAGAACACTAATATTATTTTATACACAGATCTCACAACACACATCGGGGCATCTTCAATTTCGGGTGGTGTAAGACAAATTAAAGTATCATGTTTTCAACTATTTATTGGTTAAACTCTTCTCTATTTACAATTTGATAGATTGTGCTAAAATCTTACATATAAAAATATTGAATTAATGGAATCATAACAAAAAAAAAAAAAAATTATTGTGAATCGATCAATACATCCATAACAGTCTAATAATATAGTCTCTGAGTAAGCAAAAGAAAACTAAATCTTAAAGGAGGTGATTAAAGATAGATGGTAATTGGTAATAGTATTATTATATTTGGGCTTAAGTCATGTTAATTATATTATTATACTTAGGCTTAAGCCCACGGTATAATCTAAGATTTTCTAGTTGTTTTTGTGTCTCACATCACCAAATTAGTGGAATCATCATTCTTATTAAACAATATATACGTGTACTATTTCAAAGATAATAAAGTAAGAATTTTTTCACCAAAAATTATTCCTATTGAATATTATATATGTATAGTATTTCAGAGATAATAAAGTATAGACTTTTTTTCACCAAAAAAATATTTATAATGAACAGTATGGATGTATACTATTTCAGAGATAATAAAATAGATTATTTTCACTCAAAATTAACAATAGTCATCCAGTTATAGTTAGGATCATGAAAAAATTAATTTGATGACATAACTTGACTCAAAATTAGCACTAGTCATCCAGTTATAGTTAGGATCATGAAAAAATTAATTTGATGACATAACTTGTGTAGATATTGATGAGGTCAATATATATAACTGATGATGGCTTAATTAATGTTAAGAAGCAATTTTTTTTAACCAATCATCGGCCATGATGTGCAAAGCAACGGATCACTCATTCTTCCAATGGAGAAAGGACAACTCAATTACTTGGTAGGTCACATTCAAATGCCTAAAATTAGATACTTGGTATAAATTAAATTGCCATATGAATTATGGAGATTCTCATGCTTATGCTCAAGAGTCAATTGGATGGTGATAATTATGGTCATTAACCCTATATCTCCTAATCCGATAATTACGTGTAAAATAAACTGAATATTGGGAAAAATCTCTGTATATTGAAGTTTGTACATTACAAAAGAGAAAGTATACATTTATATAGTACACCAGCTATTCTATTCTAGAGAACTTTGTATAAACGATCAATTACAATCAATAAAAAGTAATGACATATATACGATTCTATAATTAGCAAATCTCTTTCCTATAATTATGCTGATCCTCATTCTTTTCCGTAATATCAACAAATCTCTTTCCTATAATTATGTCGATCCTCATTCTTTCCCATAATACTCCCTTTCAAGTTGGAGCGTGTATGTCAAGCACGCCAAACTTGCTAAGAAGAGAATGAAAACTTGATGTACCAAGTGGCTTAGTGAACAAATCGGCAATCTGACAGGCTGATGAAATATGAG